AGAACCTGATCATTTACAGAATTTCACATGCGTCTTATTATTACTGAATTTTCTCTATAATTGCATAAAATAGATTATCTAGTATCGTTAATCGATATATATTTAGCGTTATAGAAAAGTTGACCGACCAATCAATGAGTCAATTTTACAATCGCGCATGCACATAAATTTAAAGCTCTTTTAGATTTATTTCACTACTGCACTTTATATACGTACTGTACATCGTACGTACCTAAATTTTTGATTTTGATTTTTTTTTTGTTTATCAATGATTTGTGTTAATAATCACTAATCCCCAGCATTAGGGATGGACCGGGATCGGACAGTAACGGACCAGGACTTAATGATTCACCGAATGAAAATAGAATGATCTTTTTATAACTCCTCAAATAATAACGAATAAGCGGTAACAAAAATTTTTTATTTTCAGTTTCCAATATTTCTCAAAAAGTCGAGGGTTCTCTAATTACCGTAATATTTTGATGTTGCTATTCCATAGTATATCAAAAATAAAAAGTAAAATAATTAATTAATTAAAAAATTTTATACGTAATAAATATATGTTTAATATAAACTGTGGAAATTTGTTATTAACACTAACGCTAACGCTAACGCTAATAAACAAAAAATATAAAAGAGATCTGAGGACCGAAAAGCGGACTGACCGACCAGGACGAACTGACCCATCCCATCCTTATTAAGGAATTCGCCTTTGGTCACACAAAACTGGCAGTACGTAATCAAATAAAAGCGCATTCACAGATTAAATGCTTTTCCTTTTTTTTTTCTTCTTTAAATAATGGCGTTTTCTAATAACGTTAAAGAATCAATTCTTATACCCGGCTCTTTACCTATTGAAATACTTGACCATGTTTTTTCATACTTATGTCACGATACAAAATTTTTACATTCATGTTTATTAGTTAATAGAATTTGGTGTCAACATGTTGTTGGTTTATTATGGCGTGCTCCTTTTTCCATCTGGTTAGAAGAATATAAATCCATATCTCTAATAAATACTTATATTTCTTGTATGAATGATGAAGAAAAATCTTGGCTTAAAAAGAATGGAATCAATGTATCTACTGATACTACAAATCCATTATTTAATTACTCATCTTACTTAAAAGTATTCGATAACTGTGGACTGGATATGTCCGTTAAAACCTGGTTCATTCATTCGAAATGTATATCAAAGGAAAAAGATTGTTTGATTATTGATGCTGATAGAAGAATTATACTTTCAGAAATATTATATAAATTATTTTTCCGTCAAAATTTAGAATTCACTCAGCTTACTTTCTTGAGAAAACCTTCTATATTTGACATTCCGTCTCCTTTTATCTTTACCCTTCATCCTAGTTTAATATCGCAATTACGTGTACTTCGCCTTAATTTTGCTTATACAACTGAATCTGGTCGTTTCAAGAATTTGGTTAATCTTGTCGCAATTTTACCTAATTTATGTAAAAAACTTAGAGAATTAGATATTTGTCTACAAATAATAGATGTAAATCTTGTGGCTGATTTCATACAATCTCAAGAAAATTTACAAGACTTTAGATTAGAATGTTATTCTGGTAACATTGCTCCTGCCATATCTGCTTTACAATTTCAATCAGATTCTTTGGTTCGCGTAGAATTTTCTCAAATTCAATTTAGTGGTATTGCTCTTGATGCTCTAGTACTATGTAAAAATTTGCGAATCTTGTGTCTCATTAGGTGTAAAGGATTAACTTCTTTCACTTGGTTGCCTTTAAAGAAAGCTGAATTCAAACTTCAAACTTTATATGTTAGAGAATGCGAAACTACTCAAGAATTTTTGGAATCTGCAATTGAGACTGCTAATTACCATTTAAATGAACTATTTATGAGTTATTCATCTCCGAAAATAATAGAATCAATCATGAAATTTTGTCCAAGCATTAAAACCTTTGAAGTTGATATTAAACCGTCTTCTACAAATAAATTCTTAATATTATTGACAAAATTAGTTCTATTGGAGCGTTTATCGGTTTCATTATTAATTTACGATGCAAGTGATTTCTTGACAACGTTGCCTAATTTTCTCCCTACTTCTTTATTTGATCTTAAATTAGAATTCCAAAATACACCTCGAAATTTAGTTTCTTTTCTTAAAAAATGCAGAGCTCCCATACAAATTTTGACTGTATTCAGTATATTGGGTGTTGATAATGAATTGGTTGGTTTTATTACTAAATTTGCAAAAGAAAGTGATACACTTAGAAAAGTTTTGATTAATGATTGGTCAGGAAGAAAGTTGGTTTTTCATAAATATTCCGAAGTTTGGACAACTTGTTCGTTGAAACCTCGAGATAGAATTAACAATATAAGAAATTATCAATATATATGAATTTTTTAAATTCAAAAATATTCATAAGAACTTTCCAATCTTTATAGATTATAAATTAATAAATGATTTTATTTTCTTTCTTTAAGCCGAACTTATAACATTCATTTATAGTTATGCGTAATTTTTATTTTTATTTTTATTTTTTTGAATAGATTCATAATTGTATTAGATTAAAAACTTTATTATTTTTTGAGTCTAAACTTTAAATCCTTTCTAGCTTAGAATTATTTCTTAATACAGGTTATTATATAATTTTGGCTAGTGCAAATATCAATTCGAATAAGTCTAATCAATTAAAGATCTTAGAATAGATTATATTAGAATAAAAACATAGATTTGTTAATTAGAACTCTTTTGAGATTTAATTTTTGACATGTAATTTTTTACATACTGCCGTTATATAAGAAAAAAAAAACGATTTCATGGCAACCGTGACAACAATTCGTAGATTAATGACAACACTAAATGATTATATAGCATTTCAAAAATTCATTAATAATTTTAATATCAAACAACAACAACAACATCAGAAACCTGGAATAATATTTATTAATGGATTTCATTCAGAAATGCAAAATTCTCGTAAAATTAATCATTTAATAAAATTTTGTAAAGATTTTGAATTAAATTTTTTAACATTTGATCATTATGCTCATGGATTATCTACTGGTTCATTTTTAAATGATCCTGATGGTAATGTTACTATCGGAAGATGGTTTAAAGATTTATGTTTACTTATGAAACAAGAAACTTGTGGTCCTCAGATTTTAATTGGTTCTAGTATGGGTGTTTGGTTAGCTTTATTAGTATTATTAAAAAATAATCATTTAAAAAATAATGTATATGGAATTATTGGTGTAGCTCCTTCGATTAATTTCACTGAAAAGATTTGGAAAGAAGTTGAAGATCTTGGATTATTAGATAATTTTTCAAAAAAGGTGCCTACTGAAATTATATATAATCGTCCATCAAAATATTCTGGTTCAGGTGGTTATCCAATTTCATTGCATTTTCTTCAAGAATCACGAAATCATTATTTGCATAAAGAAATTTTAGGTGGTAAAAATATCTCTTGTCCAATTACATTTATACATGGACAAGGTGATGAAGATGTCTCGTATCATGACACTTTAAAATGGGCAAAATTATTGACTCCTGATGAAAATGCAAAAGAAAAAGTCAAAGTTGTACTGATACCTGATGGCGATCACAGATTGTCAAGAGAACAAGATTTGAAAGTTTTAGATGAAGAAATTGTAAATATGCTTTAGAAATAGCTCTTGAAGGATAATTCTAATTAGACAAAGATGTATTATTTGAACTTTTCAAAAAACTGAATAAATATTTTATTAATAATGAAAAATATACATGTTAATTTACAAACATTTAAATTCTAAGCTAATTTGGAATCTCCCAAAATTATTGACCCATTTTCAGACAGAGAAACTTTCTCTAATTTTCCTCCAATTTGTTCTCCCATAATGGATTCTCCTAAATTCAAGCCGTAACCATAAACGCTCTGTGTATTTTCCAAGTGTTTTAAAAGTTCCGGAAACACCTCTTTATGAGCTTTAGTTCCCCACAAACAATCCATATGTCCATAACCTGGAGCTTCAAATAGTTTATAATTGTTCATATTATGAGCGTTAATCTTGATGAGGGTGTCATAAGACTTTCGCGTTGATTCTATGTCAAATCTAAATAAATGTTAAGAATTATTACAGAGTTCAATTCTAAAAATTGAATATTCTCAAAAATTTTTCTGTAAATAATACGTACACAACATTCTTATCTCCATGCAATAGAAAGATCGGGAAATCTAATCTTTTCTTTATATTTTCCTCAGTAACGTAAACATCATTCCCATTAAAATCAACAAGCTTTTTAGCACTTGTAATAGTCATCATGTGAGCCATTGTCGTCAGGTTAACAGCCCCAAAAAATTCATCTACATGATCATGAATCTCTTGATTTATGTTCTCATGCTGGAATAGTGTGCCATAACACAATGATGCTCGGTGACATAATGCATTATTACATCCTTGACCACGTGGAACCGGGTAGAATCGTAGAATTTGGTTAAGAATATAGTTTAATAAATTGGTATCTGGAGACGTACGAACGTCAAACATCTCTTGCCTAAACACAGAACGCCATAATGTAAGGACCCCAAACTTTCGTTTCATGATGTCCACAACTCCATTGATTGGATTTAAAGCCTAGGATGCGAATTATATATTGATAAAATGTAGATAATACAGATAAACATATAATTCTAATACTCACCACTTGACTTGTAATCAAAGACCCGACCCCTTCAATAGATCCATCCAGGATTCCCATTATAGTAGTGATGCTTCCAAGACAATGCACAATAACAGCGATTTTATCACACCCCGTTTCTTTACGCACATAATTAACAGCAGCTTTCTGATCTAATTTTATCGCATCCAACGTATGTTGTTTATAGCATTCAGAATTTGTTGGTGATATTCTAGAATCGTTTAGCCATACGTCATATTCATGTTCTAATAGATAATCCACGAGACCATCTTTGACCAAATTTGTTGTCCACATTTCATGCGACATGGCGGCGCCATGAACCTATTTAGTAATGCAATTTTAGCAATATGCATTATTAATACATTTTATTTAAATAATAATGACATTAAATGATCATTCTTACCAAAAGTACAGGTCCTTTGGATCCTTTGAATCTATGAATCAAAGTTACAACCTTATCATCGGATTCTATAGTAAATGTTTCTTTTTGAGGTCTATGTTTATGATAAAATGGTCGAGCGATTGGAAAATGACCCGGATATGATAATGGTCTAAATCTTGAAAAGCTATGCATTAACATCATATTTGTAAAGGATTTTATAAAGCGGAACAGCGCATTCCCTTGATTCTTCATGCTATTTCCAGTTGCCTAGATAATATACAATCAGTATTTAGGATCTCTTTGCATGTAAATTTCTTTTTTAATAAATTAATAAATTTATTTACCTTCAAAGTAGAGAGCTGTTTAATAAAATTGGATACCTCTAAATGTAAAATTCCTCTTCCGATAACTTTTCGATTCTCATGATTCACATCAATATCATCATCTTTATTTTGATCCATATTATTACTGAATACATATTCATTCTCTTCTGGGCACTCAAATACAGTAACATACAGAGTTGTCACCTGCTCCCATGCTGTAAATACATTTGTATTCTGTAATTTCTTGAATCCTTTAAATCGATATTTTTTCCCATCAGTAGCTAACAAGTTGAAGTTATACATCATCGCATGTGAATCAACTTGTTCGTCATTTTTAACAAAAAGTCGAAATTTTCCTTTTTCTATAATAAGAGGATCAGGTGAGAGTGCGCGACAAGAAACTGTGCCAGCAATTCCCGCCGAAAATTCCTCCAAATCAAATAATGATTGTTCATTATTTGCAATCACAGATACCGTGAATTGCATTGTAGAAGCAGATGCTTTGGCCTGCACTAAAAAAAAATAAAAAATAAAAAATATTTTTAACCTTATAATCTTGACTAATTCGAAACAAAATTTTGATTTAAATGCTAGAAATTAAACTTACACTCGGCTGCTTTATAATCGGTTGAAAGAACTTCGGTCGAAAAATATCCTTTCATAAATTCATTAAAATGGATTCTATTCTCTAAATTATTACGTGTTACTGTATCAGAAGACCATCTTCTGATTGGTTTAGTCCAATCGATTTGTTGCTTAACAAGCCCATAATCGATTTCCAGGCCTCGATCTTTAGCAGCCAGATTTACAATTCTCTCAGCCAAACAACTAATTGTAAAGAATGGATTGACACCAAGTGCCGTTGGTACTATGGCCCCATCACAAATATAAAGATTTTCATATACTTCTGTACCTTCACCTTTGTAAACCTGTTAACTATAACATTAGCCTGTAATGATTTAAATGAAATAATATTATAATAATAAGAAGAATTACGTGCCTGGCCTTTATGATTAACAACTCCAGAACTACCATCTTTGCCCATATTACATCCACCAATTGGATGAACAGTAATTAATCCTTTTCCAAAAACTTTCGCCCACAAAGGTGAAGGTACATAAGCACCATTTACCTTTGCAGTTGCAAGCTCCAAGGTTTTATTCAACTTTTCAACCGTATTTGACTTGCCAGCACCTTTGTATTCAATTTTAACTTGATCATTTTCCAACTGTATCCTTCCCGAATTATCATCGTGCGACATGATTAAATATGTCTGAGTATTCGCCAATGCACCACTATATTTAGAAAACTTTGACATGAGAACTTTTACATTTTTTAAAATTCTTTGAGCAATCGTAAGGCTAGTTGACACATCTGCTGAAAGAATTTCTGAAGCTTGACAGACAGCACTTAGAAAGTGAACGGTAGCTACCGGACATACACCTTCTTCAATAACGAAACCTTCCAAAACGTTTTCAGCTGACCTACGCATATCAATAATTCCTGTGATGCAAGGACCAACGGGACCATTTCTAAATTCTAACGGATTTTTTATGCCCATACTAATTCCTGAATAATATATATATATATATATATATATTTAAATATATATATACATTTAAAAGTATTACATTTATATTAAAATAAGTGATATCCTAGCCTACCATTACAAAACAAATCTGTATTATAGCCAAATCCCAAAATCTATAATCAAATATTCATAAATTTGTTAAGTGTAGATTGAAAAAAAAGAATAACAAATGCACGAATGCTTACATCACCGTTTCCACTGAAGCCCATGCCCAATTTTGGACTAATTTCAAGACCAAATATTCTTGATCTGAGTAAAATTTCATTTGTCCCAAGAGTGCCTGCAGCAACAAAAACAGTATCAGCCATCACATAGAATAATGGATGATTATCATCTTTATAAAATTTTTCGTGTTCTTCCTAATGTAGTATTTAAAAAAAAGTATATATGTTATTAAAATAACTTC